ATGTGCACGCAAATTTAACTATAAAAATGACGTGTGTACTGTGTATGCATGCAGCTATTATATAAACTACTGTATGATACCAATGTGTTCGGAAGGGTATCCTTAGCAGTTTTAATGATTGAAGACCTTTCTTGAGAATTCCCACTCTATATCCATAAAATTAATTTAGAACATATGTAAATTAATAATACATACTGAAATCAGTCCTTTATTAGAATTGTCTTCTATTTGTGAGTCTGCATGGATATGATAAAATACAATAATTTTAATTATTGTCAGTTACAAAATTGAAGTTAAAAAATAATTTACATGCATTAACACTTTGCCCGGCACCTCACCTTTCTCTTCTTGTGGCAATTCAATTACAGTAATTCCTTTATCCTTTAGCTTCTTTAATATCACTGGATCTGTGAGATCTCTCATGACATCATCAAAAACACATGGTAGTATAGCATAGGTGACGATAACACAATTCTTTCGTAATTGTTTGAGAAACGCATCTTCTGACCATGTGAATTCACCAAAGGTTGATACCCATGTATAAACACAAGCGAGTAACTAAGGCTTCTCAAAACGAAAAGAAATGTATGGCAAGCCAAGAGGAGCAGTAGGGGATGAGTCAGATTGTTCTTCAAAAAAAGGTATCAAATCTTGAAAGGAAGTTGAGGCCAATAGCTTGGCATATTCTTTTTCATAACCAAAAAAATCCATCTTAATATCTTTATCATTTTTGACAAGTACAGCTAGTTTTTTTAAAAGCTTGTAATTAAGGTAGCCAATGAAATCATGATTGCTTAGAAAATCAAAAAAGCTTTCAAAATCATTTGTTTTCTCAAGAATACCAATGCAGGGCATCAAATTAGAAACAACACAAGCTTTTCTCTTCAAACACCCTTTTATCAACCTCTTGGCATCCTTTACATCAATGCAGTGATCTTCAAGCGACTTTTTGACAGCAATAACAAGGATGTCATATTTATCCTGCAATGCAGTAGCAATGTTTCTCAACTTAGAAACTTTATCAATTTTTTGCTCAAGATCACGAACACCTATAAAAATACATATCCATCAACAAGGCATAGAACTTACTGTTATTAGCTACATATTTTTTCTTACCTGGATTAACAATGGCTGGCTGTGTTAAGTTCTCTATTTAAAAATAAAATATTTGCTGTTTCAGTACATATCTCTTCTTACCTGGATTAACAATGGCTATCTGTGTTGAGTTCTCTATTTAAAAATAAAATATTCGCTGTTTCAGTGATTATCAAAGAATCAGCTCTTTATTTATAATATGTGAATGAAATTGAAGATATTCTGGTCATGCCCCTTTTGCAAAGAAGGGGCATGACCAGACTAGATTCAAGATTAATTTGTAATGGCCCGGTATAACTGAAATTGTAGAGATGGGTAAATCCAGAAATTTGCAATTTATTTCAATTCCAAGTACTTTTGGGACTGGAATCGATGGAATCAAATACCAATTCCGAGTACTACATCTGCGCATGCGCAAAACCACATGTTATCTATTACAGCACTAAAAATGCAATAATAATGAATAATTAATGTATTAATGTGGCAATCT